TACGGAGGAAATATGAAGCCATTTTAAAGAAAAACCAATCACTTATAGTAGTTGACCCCAAACAGAAAAATTAACAATAACTACCCCCGAACAGGTAAATATTGTGGTTCAAATTAACGGTCAAAAAAAAACCATAATTACGGTAAGTCCAGGTAAACAACAAAAAGAAATCACGGAAATAGCCAAAAATGACTCGCAAATAAAAAAGATAATAGACGGACAAAAAATTACTAAAATAATTTTTAGAGAAGATAAATTAATTAACTTTGTTTTTTAAGCAAAAAGGGTATTTTTTATTTATGAAAGGAATTATAAAAAGGGTGGTAACTACCTTTTTTTTAGTGGGAATAGTGATAATGATTGTTATTCTTTCTTTTCAATTACTAATAGACATTAATAATAAAAAGCCAGAAAACAAGCCTAACCCGCAAAAGCCTAATGATAAGCCTCCAACACCTCCTAATCCAACTCCTCCTGATACGGAAAATTGATGGTTAACGGATGAAGAAATTAACCATGCTTATCAAGAAATAGAAAAAGAAGTCGGTAATTCACCCCACATAAGATTAGTGAGCCCAAGCGTAGTGCGAGTTATCCAAGCAGGAGGTGAAGTTAGTGAAGATTTAAAAAAAGCAGAGATAATCTTCTTTCCTATCAATAATTCGGAAAGCCACGAAACAGGAGGTGTTGGAACCCATTGAACTTTACTAGTTTATGATAGTAAATCGGGTGTGTTTTTTAATTATAATTCTTTAGAATATTCCTTTACTCCCGAAAATGCTCTGAAAGTGGCAAACAACTTTTATGACAAAGCCAACTTGCCACTTTGACCTCTTGTCGGAAATGAAAGAGAAATTCCTCGGCAAACCAATAGTTCCGATTGTGGAGTTTTTGTTATTGCTTATACTCGGTATTTAGTAAAGAATATTAAGGAAAAAATTAATAATTTTGCCATAAAAGACTTAATTTTCTCCATTGCCGAAGAAAGACAGAAATTAAAAGCGGTGGGCTTTCCCAAAAATGGTTCAGGAGGCGGAAATTACGATATTGGCGATG